CACCACCACCCCATCTGCTGCCAATTCTGCAAACGGTATAGACATCCATCAATAGGGGACCACTTTTTAAAATTCTAGTACAATGGAAAATGATGGCGCCACTAAAATGGAAATGGATCTCAATGGGCTACCGTGGGAAGCTATTCAATCTAAACAGTTAAGAGAGAAAAGCAAGATACAAGGCTGTGCCTACTGTGCACACTTATTTATGCTTATCTGAAGTAGGGGTGGAGGGATTTATAATAGATGTGTACAATTAAATACTCTACGTACATGAACATTTCTAGAAGCTGTCTTAGGAACTGGGGATGGTAGTTACCTCTGGAAAATAGGAATGGGAATCTGGGGACATGGATACTTTTTGTTTTACATTCTCTTTTTGAGAGAATAAGTCACCTTATCTTCACATTTTAAAAAAAAGTCCCTAGTGCCTGAATCTCAAAATGAGACTAATATGCAAATTCCTGCAAAATTTCATTAGCACACTTAAGATACTTTCTTGTCTCCTCCAGGGACCTATGATTTTACTAAAGGTAGCAAAATAAATAATCTATAGGACAGTAAGCATTTTTGCAACTCACCCTAACTGAATTTTGTTTATGCAATTACTTTTAGAAAAGTAACTCCCTACTGAAAAGAGAAATTTTAAATTCCATTTTCCGGGGAAATAAAACCATGGCTTAAAAGGTAGTTCTAAAACAAATTTTATGGGACTAAGCTGGAATTGCCACATCATAAATATAAGTTTTTAAGTAAAAATCCCATTAAGATGTTGTATACTAATTTCACATCTTATATAACATCATAAAATACTGTCTTCTTAAGGGATCAATGCCACTGAAATATTTCCATTGAGAACTGGGCTGCCTAAGGCTCACAGCTTTGAATCTGTATTTCATGGGCAATCGTGTTTCCCATAAAAACTCTTCACTGATAATACTCATAGGAGCAGACCATGGCTGTGTATGATAGGCGTATACATACAGTTGTGTCTTGGAATCCATGGGGGATTGGTTCTAGGACCTGCTGCAGATACCAAAATCTGTAAGTGCTCAAGTCCCTGATATAAAATGGTGTAGTATTTGCATGTAAGCCACATACATTCTCCTGTATACTTTAAATCATCTCTAGATTATTTATACCTAATACAGTGTAAATGCTATGTAAATAGTTATATTGTATTGTTTAGGGAATAATGATAAGAAAAAAACCCTCTGGATCTGTTCAGTACAGATGCATTTTTTTTTCCTAAATATTTTTGACCCTTGGTTGGTTAAATCCATGAATGTGAAACCCATAGATGTGGAGAGCTAACTGTATATCCATTCATGGCAACAGAAGGGTCACAGAGTTCATCTAGAGACTGTTTACATACAGTTCATGTGATTCTTGAGGCTAGACTGTTTTACCTGTGATTCTTAGGTTTGGTGTTTTTGCTTGTTTTTTGAGACAGTGTCTTGCTCTATCATCCAGACTGGAGTACAGTGGTACAATCCCAGCTCACTGCAGCCTTGACCCACCAGATTCAATTGATCCTCCTACTTCAGCCTCCCTAGTAGCTGGGATGACAGGTGCACACCATCACGCTCCGCTAATTTTTGTATTTTTTGTAGAGACTACGGTTTCGCCATGTTGCCCAGGCTGGTCTTGAACTCCTGGGTTTCAGGCAATCTACCCGCCTCAGCCTCCCAAAGCTGGGATTACAACCATGAGCCAGTGTGCCCAAACGGTTCTCAAGTTTTGGTTTTGTCCTTCAAAAATCGTTTCTATAGCAACAACTACAAAAATAATTAGTGTTATCTCCTTAAGGTTAAAGTCAGTTTCTCAGAAGACAAAGCAGGGTAAGACTACTTTCACTTTTAAATTTTTTTCAGTGGTTCTAGGATTCATTTTTAAATGAAGCAATGCTAAAAGCAGATTACAAAGTATATTTGCAGTGTTTGCATTTAACCGATTCTTAAAACATTAAAAACTGTTTGGCATTTGAGCATGCACATCCCCTAGAGATCCAGAAATTACATTTGTAGGTTAGGAGAATACATTGAAAATATACACAGCATCATCATCTGCAAAAGAAAAAGCAACAAAAGCAACCATAAAAGACAACCCACAAATAATCCAAAACCTATGGGCAATAAAATGGATACACACACGCACACGCACACGCACACACACACACTGTTTATTTCTGGAATGAAATAAACCAGAGCTACAAGAATTAAAATGGGCCAGGCACAATGGCTCCCACCTGTAATCCCAGCATTTTGGGAGGCCAAGGCTGGTAGATCACGTGAGCCCAGAGTTTGAGATCAATCAGCCTGGGCAACATGGTGAAACGCTGCTGCTACCAAAGAAAAAAAAATTAGCCAGTCATGGTGGCACACACGCCTCTAGTTCCAGCTATTTGGAAGGCTGAGGCAAGAGGATGAGCCTGGGAGGTCGAGGCTGCAGTGAGCCAATATTGCATCACTGCACTCCAGCCTGGGTGACAGAGCGAGATCGCATTTCAAAAAGAATAAAATGACTAAATCTTAAAACAGGCAAGTCAAAGAACACATCCTCTATGAATTCTACTTTATAAACGCCAAACGCAGGCAAACTCTTGTTTAGGTATGAACGCACACGTGGTACAAGAGAAAAATCTTGAGAATAGTTAACATAAACCTTAAGGCAGTGATAATCTCTTGGCGGTAGAAGGGCTTGTGATATAGGGATGCTCAATCAGGGAAGAAGGCCACAGGGTCAAGTTCAACTCCTTACCCTGGGTATAACATACAGGGGTGTTTCATGTTATTATTTTTTTAGTGGAATACCTTCTTTGCGTAATATTAGTTTACCAACATTTTAAAATAAAAACTATGGAGTAAATTATACAGTAAATAAAATGTGTGTGTGTGAGAGAGAGAGAGAGAGAGAGAGAGAGAGTGTGTGTGTGTGTGTGTGTGTGTGCGCGTGTGTGTGTTTGCTTAATCTGTAGAATGAATGACTTCTTTCTTTTTTTCTTTTTTTTTTTGAGACGGAGTTTCACTCATGTTACCCAGGCTGGAGTGCAATGGCGCAATCTCGGCTCACCGCAACCTCCGCCTACTGGGTTCAGGCAATTCTCCTGCCTCAGTCTCCTGAGTAGCTGGGATTACAGGCACGCACCACCATGCCCAGCTAATTTTTTGTATTTTTAGTAGAGACGGGGTTTCACCATGTTGACCAGGATGGTCTCGATCTCTTGACCTCGTGATCCACCCGCCTCGGCCTCCCAAAGTGTTGGGATTACAGGCTTGAGCCACCGCGCCCGGCCTTGAATGACTTCTTTCAATCCTATTGCTTTATCTCTGGCTCTATACTTAACTTTGGGTAATAATGTTAAAATCTAAATTTGAGACCCTACTTAAAACGTGACCTGGTCTCAAAGGCCCTCAAGTCACCACTGCAATGATCTTCCTGGATCATTATCCTCACTGGTTACACACAGGAATGCGAAGCATGTGGTCAGGAGAAAGCCCTGTAATTTCCCCCAAGCCATAGGTCATCCCCTGGAAGAACAACAACCTACTCTCCATAAGCTGACTGGAAAAGAACAGGTGGGAAGGAGAGCAGAGGGGCCCCCAGCATTGTCAGGGTTTCTCCAGAATGGCCTGCCAACCAGGACAAGCCCTGTTCCCACATCTTTTTGAACAACCTGGCACAGAAAGCAGCTGTAACTGTTCCACAAGCAGGGCTCTTGCAGTTTGGGGAGGGTTTTCCCTTTTATTCCAACTGCAACTGTGTCAGGCTCTGTCAGCTGTTGTGCTCACAGTGTTATGGGGCTATCAGATGATTTGCTGTCAGAACAACTGGCCCCTTTGATTTTTTTTTTTTAAATAACAGAATTTTTTTTTTTTTTTGAGACAGAGTCTTACTCTGTTGTCCACGCTGGAGTACAATGCCACGATCTTGACCCACTGCAACCTCTGCCTCCCGGGTGCAAGCAATTCTCCTATCTCAGCCTCCCGAGTAGCTGGGATTACAGGTGCTGCCACCACACACGGCTAATTTTTGTATTTTATACCACAGAAATGTAACCTCCAAGATGCAAATGATCCAGTGGCAAGCAGCAAACTCCTCCAACTTCCCCCCACCCCAGGGGTTTTGGTTTCTAAAGACTGGGGATTGCTATCAACAATGGGCAAACCTTTGCTACAGAACTGATTAGGGGGTAAAAATCTGAATAAATGTGTGCAAATATTTTAATGTTCACAGAAGAAAAGAAAGATTGTATTTTGTGTCAATATACAGAAGTCTTCTATGACAAAGCCACAAGTGAATACAGATTCCCCATGAGATCAACATCTCCCACAGGCAGAGATCACATGAACCTGGGCCCTCACCGCCCTACGGGGAAAGAATCCCGCACTCTGGGGTGTCCAAGCATGGTCTGAGGAGCCTGGTTCAGACGCACTCTCCATGTGCTTCCTCTCCCGGCCCACAGCTCAAGGCAGCCACCACACCCTTCTTCCCCAAGGTGGGCAGGGCAGCGTCACACAAAGTCAGTTTCACAGAGTTTCAAGTTTCTAGGCAAGGCAGGACAACTCAAAGATGCCCATTTGTCGAAAGATCAGATGTGAAAGTACAAAGTTAGATTCCAACTCAGAGCCTGGTTAGACCCAGGGTTACTTTCCAACTCTCAGGATGTGGGAGGAGACCTGGCTCTTCTCCAGCCAGTAGCCGGCACCATCCAACCCAGATATTTGTCCATCTGTTAAATCACTCACACTGGACTGACATTTTTAAAAAAACATAACAATAAGGAGACTGGTGGTTCATGAGGCGTTTAGGCAGTTTAAATACCTAGAAACCCACTGAGAAACTGGGGAGGGATTTGGGCAAGCACAAAGATAACTATTAAGAGCACAAAGACAAATCGAATTTCTTTCCAGCATCTCTCAGGATATTAATGACCACAAAGCTCCACAATACATATTTACACACGCTGGCTGAAATGGAAGAGCCGTGAAGAGACTTACCAAGGGCCACACAGCAAACCAGGGAGCACAGCAGGATCGGCAGCCAGCTCACCTTCCTGTCCAAGGCATTTGAATCTGCAAGGCAGGCGGGCTAGATATTCCAAACAGCACCTACCGTATGACTCAGCCTGGACTTTGGAGATACTGCTCACATTATCTCTGAGTATTCCTGTGTTTGTCTCAGAGAAACTCCACGCCCTGCACTGTACCCAATACAAATGTCAGTAATAATGCACTGTATTCAACACACTGCTGTACAAATGAGCTCTTTGTGCTGCCAGTAAAAGAAATCCACATTCTATATCTTCGCAGGGAGGTCGACGACCAGGGTGCCTGCTATCAATCACCCCGACTCTGGGATTGCAAGAGCACAGACATTGGGTCTGGTACTCTCTCTTTACCAACAAGGAAATGGGCTCAGCTCAACAAACCTTGTTAGGCTGAGCAAATGCCAGCCGTGGACTGGGCACAGGAAACACCACCGTGATAAAGGCAGAGCAAAGGGGCCAGCCAGCGCCAAGGGCAGGAAAGTGGCTTAAAGACAGTGAGCAGTCAGGAGACTCTCCTTCTGTTGATTCATTCGTGAGAAGACACTTGCTGGGTGCCTCTGTGTGTCAGGCGCAGCGAGGCGTGCTGGGGAGGCAAAGGGGCATAGCCCCCTCCTGGCTTAGTGGCCCCGGGGAGAGAAACAATGACAGCCACTGATAAGTGCCAGGAGAGTACTTGGTGCTAATCGAGCATTTGGGAGGGGCTACTAAGGGGGACAGAAGAGGAAAGGGGGAGGGGACAAAGTCAGTGGAAAGCAGAAAGAAAGGCTCATCAGAAGGTGAATCAGTTAGAGAGAGGTAAGGATTTGGAGGACTTAGTGCAGGAGAAGACTAGGATGGCAGATGGGTCAGACCCTGAGGATCCCACTTAAATCACGCGAGGTATCTGGGGTATATCCTGTAGGTCCCTTGGCAGCTGCATAGAGAATTAGGATGATCAGATCCCTGTTTTAGACAAGTCCTTCTGAGAAAGCAAGATGGAAAATGCCCTTCTGTGGAGCCAACTGAAGCCTGCTGAGGCAATCTGTGGGAAGTCCTGGAGAAGGCTGGATGTAGGGTGGTCGAGAGGGGCCTAGAAGAAGGTGGAATGAGAGGACTTGACATCACCTGGATATGGGGGTGTAGGGGCGCATCAAGGAAAGCCCCACTTCTGTTTCGTTCTTTCTGGTAGCTAAGATTATTCACAAGATAGGCAAGAGTTTTCAGCCTCAGACATGATGAACCTAAGGTTCCCATGGGACCTTTAAACACAGATGTCCTGATGGACACAGAGAAAGGGACGAAGAAACAGCATTGGCATCCATTAGTGACAGTGCCTTAGACACCTCTCTAAGGAGACAGGCATAGACAATCAGACCTGATCAAAACCCAGCTCTGCCTCTTAGAAGCTATACGAACTGGGGCAAGTAAATTCACATTTTTGGGACTCTAGTCTCACCTAAGGAAATTCCTTTTGGCATTTAATGAAATCGGAAAAGGACATGATGTCATGGCAAACAGAAGATATTTAATATTTTCCTCTTGCCCTTTTGTGATCATATACTGCTTTGTATTATAATTGAGTACTTAACCTTTGCAGCAGATTACCAGTTTTCTTGCTGTCACTCACCTTTAAATCCCTTTTGACCATATTTGTAGGCACAGATTCTCAAATATTTGAATTGCCACAAGTCATATGAAAAACTAAGGCCAGACTGTTCTAGGGGACCAGGAGTTCCCTGCCTTTGACACTAAATAACAAATGCAAAGATCTCAAAATTGCCATGCGGCTTAAGTGGTGTTGATTTAACTCTGTGTTGAGGGGTGGGATGGAGAGAAAAGGGCGGTGGGGTTTGGGAAAGAGGGAGAATTTTGTCAGCCTAATAAAGGCTAGTCAAAGCCTACTCTGTGAACACTATACTGTAATATTTAAGAGGAAGAGTGTCTACCAAAGTTAATATTGCATAGCCTCTATCCTCTGGCTCAGTTCAAGTAAAGTTCTTAAGTCATGTTAAATAATAAATTCCAGCAAATGGATCTTGCCTTCAACCGAATATTAAGTCAATAGCACACTCTGTATATGAGAAGTATAGACTTCTTTGCTAGGTCATTTTTCTAATTCTATTTATAACCCTCAGAATGAATATTTTAAAACTACAATAAGATTTTTAAAACCAGACTGACCAAAAAGGCATACATAATTCAATTCCACATAGCTAAGCTTGTTCATTTTTCTTCAGATTTTGCCTTTACATTTGGGCTCCAACTTGTCTTTACCTATTTTTATGGCTGCCTTCCTAGTCTGAAAATATCTTGGTCACTGGATATTTTGTTTCATCTCCAGCTTAGCTCCGAAAATACAATCAGGATCACTTCTTCCCTCCCATTCTTCCCTGGTAGCTTCATATGTTCCCATCCATTCACCCAGAGCCCAGTTCAGTACACCTACCTCACGTTCTGTGTCTCAGTCACAAACGTCTTTTATAAAAACCTGCCCAAGTTTCTAATACAAAATGATCTGGCAACTGCCTCAAAGCTCTCTGTTTGGCTCATTTAATTATTTTGATTAAATGTAGATAATGATTCCATTCAGAGCTAATGGTGTTCAGGACTACTCTTATTCCTGGCTGTCTTCAACCTGGGCACATGTGACATGCCTCAAGCATGACCAGTTTGAGAGGACACTTTTGTCCCTAAGGGCCGAGGAAGAACAAATCCCCCTCCCTCACATCTGTAGTCCTAACCTGAGGTTCTTGCCTCTCTATGACATTTCTGGATTCTGGATGCCTCCCATTAAACACATGATTCACATCCCCATCCTTCATAGCCAACATCTAAGATTTTGACGCCCCACTGACATACAGACCCAAGATACCTTCCAGTTCTTCTCTGCCTTGAATAGACTTGAACATCCCAGACGTGAATAGACTCAAGTTTTTTGTGTGTCTATAAGACGCTCTCCTATCCCACCGCCAATAGGGGGAAAAATGAAGGCAGACAGATGGCCAGATTAGATGGAATCTGCCACTGAGAAGGCAACATTCCATGGCACCCAGCCTCTGGCCTATTTGAGTTATTCCTCAGACACTGATGAGAGGTGCAGTCTCAGGGAGAGACTACTGAGACGTAATCCTTTCCCTTTACACATGACTTTGACATATGCATCACACACATACACACGTCTGACTCCACCACCGTGACTCACATTGGAGGTGGTGTTTAAAAGGAACAGCATCTCAGTGCTAATACGTTGCTTCACTCAGAATTGCTCTACGGCTTCTCCTACTGGAGCAGGTCACATCCAGGAAATGGTTTGCCTGACCTTGGGCAGGATTTTCTTACTATTACCTCATGCCCCAGGGCTCTCTTACTTTCTTCAAAACCCAGATCAGGATCTGCAACCTCCTATGACCCAAAGCATTCTCCTTATAAATTCAGGATTCAAGGATTCAAAATTAGCCAGTCCCTACCCTTTTCTCTCTCTGAACACTTTTAAAATACCTTTTAAATTCTTATCTTTCTCACATCTATGTCATTCCTCCAGGCAGAGGCCCCTGAGTCTCCTGTGGTTAAGTAAACGCTCAGAGCTGCCCGCTGCACCAGACTCAGCTGAGCCCTGGAATCCTTCTGAAAATAAAAGATTTATCCTGCAAAGTGGTGCAGCCTTTGGGAGAACAATATGTTCATCTCTATTCTCATTTAAAAGACATATGCCCTTTGACCCAACAGTTTTGCTTTTAGAAATTTATCCAAATACGGTTATAGAGAAAAGTGTACACAAGTTTGCGATACAGTATGACAAAGCAAAACCAACATGAAAAAAATCATCCTGGAACTTAAACCGTATAGCAACAGGGGACTGGTTAAATAAATCATGGATATGTATATTTTGTGTCAAGACTTTCTGTAAAGACACATAAAGAAACAGAACATTACTATCACTGCTATCTCTGGGGAAAAGGACAAGAAGCTGGAAAGAGAGACTTTAATTTTGCCTTAAGCCCTTTAGTTCTGTGGAATTTTTTTTCTTTTTTTGCGATAGAGTCTAGCTCTGTTGCCCAGGCTGGAGTGCAATGGCTCAATCTCAGCGGACTGCAACCTTTGCCTCCCAAGTTCAAGTGATTCTCCTGCCTCAGCCTCCTGAGTAGCTGAGATTACAGGTGCCCACCACCACGCCAGGCTAATTTTTTTTTTTTTTTAGTAGAGATGAGGTTTTATGTTGGCCAGACTGGTCTTGAATTCCTGACGTCAGGTGATCTGCCTGCCTCAGCCTCCCTAAGTACGGAGATCACAGGCATAAGCCACTGCGCCCGGCCTATGGAATTTTTTTTTTTTTTTTCAAATGAACTCGCACTTCTTAAGCTAGCTAATAGAAAAAAAAGTGTACCTTTATCATTTGACGCTACTAAACGCTTCATTTAACAATATCATTTAATCTTTGCTAAACAGGAACTAGAAAGACTAGGCATAAATAGAAACTGTATAGACCATATGCATTAAAATGGGTCTGCTTTAGCAGTTAATGGTTTAATCATTAAATATTCTCAGAAGATCAGAGTATTTCTAAGGCACTTGCTCTATGTGTTACTGACTCTTCTACAATCTAAGTGGTTCAATTTAAACCTTCCCCCTTGTGCTAAACATTCGTGTTTATACTTAAAGTCTATTTCACTCAGGAAATTGGGGTAGGGTCAGTTTTTAAGGTTTTGCCTTAAACCTTAAAAAGAACATAAAAATCCTTCAGGTCTTAAAGAAAAAAGATTGATGCTCAGGCCTTACATAAGACATATTAAATCTTCCATATATTGTTTAAGAAGCTCCACGGGTAACTTGGATGTGGCTGGCATTGCCTCATGCACACCAAAAGTAACCATGCTTAAAAAACACTGTCTTATCCGAAGGAAACACAGCATAGAGAATTCTATGAACAAACCTGTTCACTATTGCAGTACTCCAAAATTTTAAAATAAGTAACTTTCTCAAACACTGACATAGGGCTTAGAGTTAACAATGCGGGTAAGCAATCGCACCAGGCTCTCTCATCAACGACACAGCTCTTCTGGCTCCTTTGAGGAAGTGAGGACCAGCCTGTGGAAGAGCCGTCTTTGGGGCTGGTGTTTCTCGAGCTGTGGCTTCAGGCAATCTCAGGGACAGAACCTGGAATATGCATCTGACAGCCTCCTCTCAACCTCCCATCTCCACCCCATTCTTATGTCCAAATAGTTTCAAACTACTGAGCTAGACCAGTATTTTCCGAACGCCGAACTATAAGAGTGGATAGGGCCCCAGCGATCTTTGCCACACCCCAGAGCAGAGAATTGGAAATCTCTACTGGAGGTTCTGCAGTGCCCCAGGTTAATTATCTAAACAGGAAAGTTAGGAAACACCAATTTAGGTCAAACTCGTTTTAAGATAAGGAAATCAAGGTCCAAGAAGTTTAAGTGATTTCACCAAGGACTTATAGCTGATTAATGATAGCTGGGAGCCGTGAAACCTGGTGAGCTAATTCTTCCCTCTTAGACCAATACTGCTTGTTGTTATGCATAATCATGAAAGCCCTAATATCTGTGTAGTTTCTGATTCACCACGAGGAGACCCCATGTGATTAATAAAGCCTGAACCTAGGGCATGTCAGAACGCCACTGGCTTAAAGGATGACTGACATGGTAAAGTATCCAACATCAACCTGCCCATCAGAGTTCTTTCACTTTCAATATCAGTAGCAGGAGAAATATACAAGTAAGTGTACGTTTCATAGTAAAGTAAATCCAGTCCCACAAAGTTACAACCAGGTAAAGTGGGAACACAGGACGATTCAGAGTTCTTGGATCACACCATTTCTTGGTCAAATATTATACCTTCAGCAAAAGACCTCTAATTACCACACATTTGGTTATGGCAACAGCCTGCGCCTTTCTGTTGGGAGAGAGGAGTACTCCACACCCATGGCCTGAAACCTGGATCTCCAAACTCATCAAAGAGAAACATGGATGGAAAACAAAACCCCCCAGCTTTGAATTCATCCAGCAAGGTTTAATTCAGAGAGAGTTCAATCAAGTTATAATTGCCTCTAATTGGCCCTCCCACACGGTCTCACAACATACAGCTGTAATGAGTTCCACAAAGAAAGTGTTACCTTTTTTTTCTACCTTGAAAAATCAGAATCCTTGTTAGGTACTTAACCATCACTGCTTTAATTTTTTAAAATATACCAAGACATTAAAAAAGGAAGAATGAATGAATAAAAGTAAAGAGGTAGATGGTTTTTTTTTTTTTTTAAATAAGCACTTATCCCTATGACCTTAATGATAACCCAGTGAGATTCAAATTTGTAATGGAGACTGATGTCAACTCAGGAAATCTTTCTAGTCCAGAGCACACGTGGTCCAAAAAACATACTCATCTAGTCAGACATTTTCCAGACTGATTTTTATCTTTCTAGGCATGCTCAACTCCCCTTTAATAAAGTCACAACCCTTTGTTGCCATGGAACCCAATCAGACACGAAGCCTGTTACTATGACTTCCCTGCAGATACAAAAAAAGACCCAGTGACCAAAAGACCAGCTCCTTCTTTCAAAAAAGAAAAAAAAATTACAAGGCAAAGAGGCTCCAAAAAAGCCTCAACACTTTTGTATCTACTGAAGTTTAATTTTTATGCAGGCTAACCTGAACTCTTCAGCCAAAGCTAGCTCATGTTGTATAAAAATTTTTCAGCTGGAACCTTCCAAAGAAAATGACTTTATAAATAAATACCTGGCAAAGAAGTTAAAAATGTTCTTGGGATATCTTACTTATTTTCTTCTTTTAGGCAAACTTTCTGAAATTTGAGTAGCTGTTTAGCAAATGTGTCAATCAGCGGCTGCCAAATTGCAATATTCATTTCCATCAATACTTAATGTTGACAAGAGTTCATTCTTTCTCTGAAAAGATATTCTAAACAATACAATCAATCCTGTGTTCTGGACCTGGACTAAATCTGCAGAAAAAAAAAAAATCTGAGACTAAGCAGAGTGAACTGAGCAGGTTACTTAAGGAAAGAGAATTAACATTTGTTGAGTGCCTACCATGAGCTGGGCATATTTAAGTCATCACGTGAGAACCCTGCAACTGAGGCAATGCCACCTCTGTTCTGCAGATGAGGGACCAAGGCTCAGAGAGCTTAAGTACTTAAGCAGCTTGTTCAAGCTACCAGACTAGAATGCTGCTTGGCTCCCAAAGCTCGAGCTATTCCTTCATTCAACCAACACTTATTTCTGGTCTCACAGGTGCTTTACATTTTGTTAGGGTTCTTGTTCTTTAGGAGCAAATTCACAGCCTATAAACCTTGGTTGTAAAGAGGGCATGGTGTCCATCCTTACTGGCACAGAGGCCAGTTCCAACTACTCCCATTTACAACAACTACCACATCCATACAACAGCAGCTACCCCTTGTGGGAATCATGAATAAATTTCCTGGTTACTGTCTAAGAAAACACAGGGCTAGGTACCCATTACACCTTTCCAGAGGTTGGCCACTGCCCAGGGCCTTTCAACCCTGGACCTCATGGTGGGGAGGATCAGGAAGCTCTGGGTGGCCTTTTCATGTGCAATATCATCTGCAAAGTCAAAGGCAAGCCATGCAAACCCACAAGAGTTTCTCCAACCTGGTTTTGGACCACCAGCTTCAAGAAATGACTAGTAAAAAGGAATGTGGCAAAGCATGAAAGTTATTGTAATTTAGAAGTTATATTATTAATTACACCAGCTTCTCAGCTAAAGAAAATTTACCTATTTCATGTAAAAAGATTACAACAAATGATTTCATTAAAAGAAATTTTAAAAATCATCCAAAACTGTAGTACAATACCACTTTATACTCACTAGGATGACTATAATTAAAAGACAGATAATAACAAGTGCTGGTGAGGATGTGGAGAAATCAAACCCTCATACACTGGTAGTGGGAATATAAACTGGTGTAACCACTTTGGAAAACACTCTGGCAGTTCCTCCAAAGATTAAACATAGAATTACCGTATGACCTGGCAACACTACTTCTAGGTACGTACCCAAGAGAAATAAAAACATACACCCACACAAAAACTTATACAGAAGTGTTCAAAAGTGCTCACAGCAACATTATTCTTCATAGCCAAAAAGTGAAAACAACCTAAATGCCCACCAAATGTCATATATCCATACAATAAAATATTATTAGCCATGGCTGGGCACTGTGGCTCATGCCTATAATCCCAGCACTTTTGGAGGCGGGCAGATTGCCTGAGCTCAGGAATTTGAGACCACCCTGAGCAACATGGTGAAAACCACCTCCACTAAAATACAGAAAAAAAATTAGCCAGGCGTGGTGGCACACGTCTGTAGTCCCAGCTACTCAGGAGGCTGAGGCATGAGAATTGCTTGAGTCTGGGAGGCAGAAGTTGCAGTGGGCTGAGATCACACCACTGTACTCCAGCTTGGGCTACAGAGTGAGATTCTGTCTCAAAAAAAAAGAAAGAAAAAGAATATTGTTCAGCCATAAAAAGAAGTACTGATTCATGCAACAACATGTGTGAACCTTTTAACAGAGGGGAAATGAAGAGTGACTGCTACTGGGTATCTTTCTGGGCTGATGAAAATGTTCAAAAATTGTGGTGATGACTGCACAACTTTGTGACTACACTAAAAAATCATTAAATTGTACATGTTAAATGTTAAATTGTATGATATGTACATCATCTCAATAGGCTTTAAAAAAACAAAACAAAACAAAAAAAAACTCCAATACAATGTTTTGGTGTTTCGTTGTCCTAGTAAACAACAGACAGCCTAACTGACAGGACCATCTAACCTTCAACCAGGCACTTTGTCTCTCAGGGTCTTCACGCCTTGGTTAGAAAACCAGGCTCAGGCATGAACCAAATGCTGTTTTCCCTCTTGTGCAAAGGAATCTGACTTTATATCTGGGTGAAAACCTCTCAGGTGAAGTATAAACTGGACAGTCAGACCTCCTCTGCCTGCCAGGCCAGGACCCAACCCGTTCCTTCCAACCAAGTCACTGTTAGTTCCCCAGTCTGGTTCCTCCCTCTCAGCCCAGCCTCCGT